AAACTAGTTGCAGTTGCTGATAAATTACAAAATTATCTGAAGTGCTAAGGTTAACTCTTTGCGGACGAATGTCGACATTTCGATCAAACTTCCATGTTTAGAAGAGTAAGTCGCGAATGATCAACAGCAAGAAATCAGTGTATAATTCCTTTTCGTTCTATTATTCAAATGATCGATACATAATTTAATTTCATCCGCTGAAGATTTCGTATATTTCAAGGAATCCGCAAAAGGTTAATACGCACGTGGGTAATATTATCATAGAGCATATAGAATTATCAGTTCACTATAATCACAATCTATTAAATTCCAAATGCTCCGAGCGCAACGCAAAATAAGTTATCAAACTCGTTAAATTCGAATCAGCGCGAATCCCACGCTCGGAATCCATCGCGCGTCAAAGCTCGCCCCGGCGGCGTCAAGGGTTTCGAGCGGTCCGTAGAAATTCGAGCGATAAATTCCGCGAAAGTCGGAACGTAATTCCGCAGTCGTTACTATCCGATTCGACGCGCGTTCGATCGCCGCTCGATGGGCAGAGTTCTTTTCCCTTCCGTTCAAACGGTCGCGCGTTACATCGGCCGATTAAGCGTCCGTCTTGTTGCTCCATTTTCCATCTCGTTTCGCGCGGCGGAACGAACCACAAAAGGACCAAGATAAAACGAAGAGCGACCGGGTGGTGGAAGCGAAAAAAGGAGGGGAGACGGAGAAAGAAAACGGTTGGCTCCGGGCGCAGGTGAATTAGCGTCGTACACGAACGCCGCTGTTGCAAGTAATCAAAGATACGGCCGGGCCGCTGTATGCGCGGCCGAAATGGCTAACGGGAATTTATACGGGCCCGGGGCTCGTCGAGAGGAATTAGATAGAACGATTCCGCGGAACTTTATCGGCGGAACCGATCACCACAATTATTGGAAATCGATGGAAATCCTCTTTCGTTGCTCGGCCTTTCTCCACGGCTGGCTTCGCCCGATTAAGTCCTCTCTCTCTCTATCTCCCCTCTCTTCAGCCAACTCTCGCGAGTCTTCTCCGCGCTACCGATGCTCGATCTCCGCCGATGTTTGCGAACTCGCGCACAAAGCGGGAAGAGGGCCGCGAAAAGAAAACACTCGATTATAACGCCCCGCGCCGGTGCCGACGCGTCGCTCGTTTTAACCGTTCAACCGCTCCCTCTACAAGCAACCCCTATCGATTCACTTATCGATGAAACGGTTAAAGAACTCGGTGTAATTCAAAGAAAACCACCCCCGTTATACGTCGGAATTTTCCAGCTCCGTCGGGTAACCAGTAAGAAACAATCTAGCGAAGCGCTGCGCATAAATCGCAGGGGAAGATCGCGCCGGCCTTAATCACGCGGCGTATTCAATAAGAAGCGGTCTTTAACGGGCGGCAACGCGTATAAATCACTAATCCGCCGAGTGCAGTTGCAGGGAACCAGCCGGCGACCGCGGCCGCGACACGGTTGCTTTACGACACGTCAATTTCCATCGAGCTCGGCGACAAAGTTGCGGCGACCGCTAAACCACTTACCAATGAATCATCCCGTACCTTGACCCCCTCGCTCCCATTCGTCCTCGGATGAGAAACATCGAAAA